AGGACGTCCCTTCATCCTTTCATCAACAAGTGAAGGCTATAGTTGGAGGAATCCCTGTCAAAATTGATGCTTCACAAATGAGAATCAAGGCTATCAAGAATCCCATCAAAAACGTGAAGCACGATGAAGAGGATGAACATTTGTGGGGCTTTAATGAAAAGGTCTCCTTAATCGAGGAGGATGAAAGGACCCCTCTTCACTACGACTTCCAATCTAACATGACAGTAAATGCAATCCTCAGAAAACAGGGACACATTCCTGGAATGACTCTCGAAAAGAAGAAAGGGATAGCAAAGCAAATGGGACTACTCGGCCTCCCTAAATTGGACACTTTTGGACTTGGTTTTGAACCGACTCCGGAAGACCTTAAGCGACCTCGGGAAAAGGCCAATGCGTGTAGGAACACTCGTACCCAAAAGAAAGCAATCCCATTGTATCATCATCCTCTTACCCTAAATGGAAAATTCATAAAAGAGTGAGAGGACTATCTACGCCATGAATTTCCTAAACCCTTTGTCAAGAATGGGATAAGACAACCTGGGTTTGAAATATTCTTGGATTTCAACTTTCTAGATGATGTCCCAACTCCTATATAATAGGAGAAAGCACCCCCATGCTTTGACTTTAATGTCATTGGACTTCTCTTTGGGCATGAGAAGAATGAGCCAACTTATATCGAGGATAATTCCTTGCTCATTCAAACGGTACTACAAAGTGATAACTTTGATCCTTCCAAGCTTATCACTCAAGCGGAGGGTCTAAATCAAGGATGGAAAAAGATCGTGAAGGTTACTACTCCAAGTGGAAGAAAGAACTCCATAACAATAGGACAAGGACCAATGTTCGAAGAATCTTCTGAGTTAGAGTTCGAGTCAGAGTCTTCCCCTATCGAGTCTTCTAAATCCTTAATTATAGCACCTTCCCCTAGTTCTTCTGTTTTAGCACCTTCACCTAGAGTATTTAGTAATCAAGTCCCAACGGACATAGCTTTATTTGATGTAATGGTTTCCGAATTTAATTATATGTCCTCTTTTGCTTACTCCTCGTGTCATTCTTTAATCCAAGATGACGAGCATCGTTTAACTAACAATGAAAATGACAAATAAATAATTAAAGAAATGGAAACACTTGAAAACAAAACACCGGTAATTGAAGATACTAAAACGGTTGATATCTTTAAAGATCCAACCATTAAAAGAGAAGTTAAAATCGGACTAACACTAAATAAAGATGAAAGAACCAATTTTATTAATCTACTAAAAGAATTTATTGATGTATTTGCTTGGTCATATAAAGATATGCCGAGAATTAATAGAGAAATAGATTAACACACAATTCCACTAATCCTAGGAATAAAACCTGTAAAACAAAAGTTACGTCGAATGAAACCCGATGTAGCCCTTAAAATAAAAGAAGAAGTACAAAAACAGATAACAGCAGGTTTTATCAGGGTATCCAAATACCCCAAATGGGTCGCAAATGTAGTCCTAGTTCCGAAGAAGGATGAAAGGGTACGAATGTGTGTCGAATATTGAGATCTAAATAAGGCAAGTCCAAAGGACGACTTCCCTTTACCACACATCGATATTCTAGTAAATAATACAGCAAACCACACACTTCTCTCATTTATGGATGGATACGCAAGGTATAAACAAATTTTCATGGAATAAGAAGATATGAAGAAGACAACATTCATAACACCTTGGGGCACTTACTGTTACACGGTGATGCCATTTGGGTTGAAAAACGCGGGTGCCACTTACCAACAAGCAGCAACTGCTTTAATGCATAACATGATGCACAAGGAAGTCAAAGTCTATGTAGATGACATGATCGTGAAATCAAAAGATCGCCTAGGGCATTTGATAGCCTAAGAAAATTCTTTGAAAGATTAAGAAAATACAACATGAGGTTGAACCCGTCCAAGTGTGCTTTTGGAGTCGCCTTAGGAAAACTCTTGGGATATGTCATTAGCTGTAGAGGAATAGAGATAGACCCAACCAATATCAAAGAAATCATGTCAGTGCCACCGCCAAAAACCGAAAAGCAAATTCGGGGATTCATTTGCCAGTTGCAATACATAAGTAGGTTCATATTTAAATTGACAACAATATGTGAACCAATAATCAAGAAGCTCAAGAAGAATGTGCCAGAAATATGGGACGATGAGTGTCAAAAATCCTTTGAGAAGATCAAAGCCTATTAGCAACAACACTCCCAGGAATCCCTCTTAGGTTGTACTTAACAGTCACCAAAGAGACAATGGGGGCTATGCTCGCATAAGAAGTAAAAGGAAAGGAGATTTCCATCTACTATCTAAGTAAAAAGATGCCCGAGTATGAAATGCGCTATGCACCACTTGAGAAATTGTGCCTTGCATTAGTGTGGGCCACAACCAAGTTAAGACATTACATGCTCATTCACACAGTCTTTGTAGTATCTCGAATGGATCCACTCAAGTATCTTTTCGAGAAATCTACACTAAATGGGCGAATATCAAGATGGACTGTCAACTTCGCCAAATTTTATGTAAGATTCATGCCCCAAAAGGCTATTAAAGGATTCGTGGTTTCTGATTTCTTAGCAGATTTCCCAATAAAAGATTCCACAACTATACACAAGAATGATTTTCCAGACGAATATTTGATGGTCACAGAAGATGATACTTGGACTATCTACTGCGACGGAGCCTCAAACCAAAAGGGATGTGGTATAGGGAGTACTATTGGTATCACCTAAAGAAGAACATGTTCCAATCTCCATAAAGCTAGATTTTGACGTTACCAACAACACTGCAGAATATGAAGCATGTGTGGTAGGCCTTGAAACAGCTTTGGCGTTGTGAGTAAAGAAACTTCGAATTTTTGGGGATTCTCCGTTGATCATCAATCAAATTTCCAAGAGATGGAAAGTAAGGAGTGAAAGCTTGGCCCCTTACCAAACCTACCTAGAAAATCTCAGAAATTAATTAGAAAAGGTATAGTACGCGTATCTACCCAGAGAGGAAAATCAATTTACTGATGCCTTGGCAAGACTAGCCTCTATGATTAGGATTCCTACGAAAATTAAGTAAATGACTTTAACAATAGAAAAAAGCAATAGAGGATGATGAAGTAACCTAAGAAGAAGAATAAGTGGAAGAGCCTTGGTATACAGACATCCTTAATTATGTCACAAAAGGAGAATACCCACTCCGTGCTAACAAAAGAGAAAAACGAGCTTTAAGACTCTTGGCTTCCCAATATGTGCTCATTAACGACGAATTACACAAAAGGGTACCTAAAGGTCAAGCTCTTCTATGTGTAGGCAAAAAGGAGCCCAAAGGGCTATGAGAACAGTCTACGAAGGAGTATGTGGAACACATGTAAATGGCAAAAT